ACTATTTTATTTACAATCATTCGAATTTTGAAATTTTCATTTGGATTAAAACTAAAAAATAAAATAATTAACAATTTCATAAACTTTCGACCCGTGGGCCGAAAGTAAAAGTCAAAAAATACAATAAATTTTAAAAAGTTCATTCACTTTCGACCCACGGGTCGAAAGTAAACTTTCGACCCGTGGGCCGTAAGTAAAAGTCAACATTACATGTATGATTGTAAATAAACTATTTTTCAACCTATATACTTTTCCTATTCACATTTTTTTTATGCACAGTGGCACAAAAAAGTTATGGGGGTGGGAAAATATAAAAAATGACTCTGTACAACCACATATTGATATCAAATATCGTTAAAGGGCCCAAAAAAGGGGCGTGGCACCCTAAAATTTTTCGCCTTTGGCGGCTACTTACTAAATGACCATGTTCTCAGGTTAAGTGACCCCCCCCTCCCCCCCCGAAAAGCACTTCTGGATCCGCCACTGGGATGCTTGCCACAAGGACAGCAGATACTTTAGTAGCCACCGAGTCTGTCTATCAAGGTGAGCACCACTAGAGGCACTCCCCAGGGCGGAGTATGCTCACCCCTGATGTGGAGCTTGGTGGTGGACGAACTGCTAGAAATACTGAACAACCTGGGCCTGGACTGTGTTGGGTATGCTGATGACATCGTCATCATGGCAAGAGGAAAGTTCGAGGGCATCCTATGTGTGAACTCATACAGACCGGAGTTAAAGTAACGGAGGATTGGTGTAAAACAGTGGGACTAAATCCATCGAAAACCATTGTAGTGCCTTTCACTAGGAAGAGAGAACTTTCTAGAATGAAGGACATCCGGATACACGGAATTATCATTATACCGGCATCGGAAGTCAGATATCTCGGCGTAACGCTTGACCGCAAACTCAGATGGAACAAACACATCAAGGGAGCTGTAACCAAGGCTACGAGGGCTCTTATGGTGTGCCGAAGCCTCGCGGGCAAAACCTGGGGATGCAAGCCAGGGATCTTGGGATGGATGTACACCATGATAGTAAGACCAACCCTACTATACGGATCGGTAGTCTGGTTCAATGCAGTTGAGAAGCAGAACATAAAAGCAGCTCTCAACAAACTACAGCGCCTGGCCTGCACATGCATTACAGGTGCAATGAGAACTTGTCCCACAGCAGCCATCGAAACAATTATAGGTCTCGCACCTCTTCACATTGTGGTGGAGGGGGCTGCCAGACGAGCAATAACCAGAATCACGAGAGAAGGAGCTGCCGAGGGATGTTGGCCAGGAAGGAGAGAATAAGCATCTCTGACCAAGCTTATTCCGCTCCTCGAGCTCCCCAGGGACGATATGATTTAAACACAGCACCTGGACAAACACTTCACAGTAGTGATAAGAAGCAGAGAGAAGAATGGAAAGAAAATACCACAAGCATTCTTAAAACTCAGCAGAAAGCCATAAAATGGTACACCGATGGGTCAAGAACCGAACAAGGGACCGGAGCTGGAGTATTTGGGCCTGGAACCAAGTTCTCTGAAGCAATGGGAAAATACCCGGACATATTTCAGGTGGAAATAAACGCTATAAGTAGATGTGCTGAGTTCAATATTGACAGAAAGAGAGAAATTGTCATATTCTCCGACAGTCAAGCAGCCATTAAAGCGCTGACCCACATAACAGTGAAAGAACATTCATATTCTCAGAATATTCCCTCAAAGTGCTTTTTGGAATGTTCATTGAATATTCTAAGATTGTTTCGATTGAAATATTCGTTTTTGAACGTTCTATTTATGTACTAGGAATGTTGCTTCTATGCACCTACCTGAAAGATTGTGCTAAGAACCTACTTTATATAACATTATTTGAATATTCTCATACGAACATTATTATAATGTACCCTAAAAAATGTTGCTTCGGCTAATATCTCTATCAAGTATTAAGAATATACCTACCAAGTTGTACTGAGAAGTTTATGTAGGTAGGTACCCATGATAAGAATATTTCCATATTGTTCACCTAATTATCTAAAGTACCTACTCAAAAACTTAATTGAACAATTAAACAATAATGCTCTATCTAGAACCTACTAAGAATATTATAGGTATATTCTTTTTCATTTGCTTTGTAGGACTTCCAAGAGAGGGAGCCACGCGCTATTAAAGATCTACTTCTTACCTCGCGTTTGAATCACCTTGGAACTTGTTTCTCTCAGTTGGCGTGCTTCGAGAGAGCATAACAATCTCGAAACCGGAGCTTTGGTTAAACACTTGTGTTTTCCAGAGAAATTTTCCAACAATTCTTCCACTGCCTTTAATATAAAAGGACTGGAAGGAGCATTATTTGGAAAAAAAAATTCACATTCCAAGTATATCCTTAGAATCAAACAAGAATGTTATGTCTAGGATGCATATTGAGAATGATATATGTAGATATATTCTAAGAATATTTCAAGTATATTGGTATAATATTCTTTTGAGAACATAACTATAGTGTCATAGAAACATTCTTTGAATATGAGAATATACATTTCGAGCATATTTTTAGAATCAAACAGGAATATTCTTTTCAAGATGTACTGAGAATCTCATAGGTATATTCTAGGAATATCCTAATGGATTTCCCAGGAAGTTCTTGGGTATTGCAAACAGTATTTCTACAATCTTTTCTCAGAACATTCTCAGGACATTCGCAATGGTTTTGGCTAACATTCTAGGCACATTCCTCCTAAAAAAAGAACATTCTTAGTACATTCTAAGGATGCAATTTTGTTATGTGGGGAGCTCACCAATAATCAGCTCCAGAATGGTTTGGGATTACCTGCACTAGTTAAAAAGACTGGGCAAGGATAACAAACTATCCCTCCAGTGGATACCGGGACACGAAGGGATTGAAGGCAACGAGAACGCGGACCAACTAGCGAAATTAGGGGCACAGACCCCGATTTCAGGACCGGAACCCTTCTGCGGCATAGGGAAACACACCTATGAAAAAGCCTTCAAAAAGGAAGAGCGGACCAAATGGAACAGCCTCTGGGAGCAACTTCCAGGGTTGAGGCAATCGAAGATGTTTCTTGGGCACCCTGACCAAGAGAGACCGAAAGGCCTCACATCACTAAGCAAAAACAATCTCCGCATTCTCACCGGATTCCTCACAGGCCACTGCCGGTTAAGAGGGCACCTTGAGAGAATTAAAATTCAAAACGAGAACAGCTGCCGGTTCTGTGAGGAAGGGGAGGAAACTCCTGAACACCTTCTAACGGAATTCGAGGCGATCGTGAATACACGAGGCCTGCTTCGGATGCTACATCGTGGGACGGGAAGAAATTCCATCCATAGAACCATCCAGAGTACTTGCTTTTATAAAAGCATTAAAAGGCTGGATGAGGTGCCTCAAGCGAGAGTCCATCAACTGGAGCGCCAAGAAGGGGGACACAATAGATCTATGCAGGTCGCAGTGTAGCAAAACCCCCAACTAATTTATTCATTCATTCATTCATTCATTCAAATATTCTAAACTGTATTTTTGATAGTTTAGCTAAGCTTAAGCTGCTGATAATAAATTTATCACAATATTTCTTAAACATCAAGTTAATTGTCAGTACACAATAATATTGCGTCCTACTACTTATTTACTAGGACAAATTTTATATTTTAATTGATAAATAATGTATTTTTACATTCCTCGAAGGACGAAAGCCTCAGGAAATTGTGCCGATTATATGGCTAATAATTATAAGTATAGGTAGGTACTAATAATATACCTAGGTACTACTTAGCTGAACTATTAAAGTAGGTTTAATTATTACCTACCTATTTGTATTTGCACAAGATGCATAAGAATAATTGGGTCATTTTATTTCAAATTTCTGTTACTAAAAAAGGCTTCATCATCTTGGTACGGCCTCATTGTATTTTTATTATTGTGTTAATTTTCTGGAACGCTGTTTCATTCATTAAATCCAATAATAAAACTCAACAAACTGATCTTTAAAACATTCAAATTTGAACATTTTAGCCAAGGAACATTAACATTACTTTGATAATTCTAGAACCTAAACCTAATTAACTAAACTAACTAAAGAATTGCTTTATTTATCACTACATTCATAGGTAGGTACTCTACATGAAACGTCTTGTGCGAGCAAATCTGGAAATTAAATAAAATTTTCAATTTATATAAGTAAAGAATGCACCAACATTGAGAGAATAAATAGGGCATAGGCATGACTTAGTAAGTTGGTAGGTAGGTACCTACCTTTAAAAAACATCAGCTGTTGTCCCATCAGGATTAACATTATCGTTAGTTGGAGTATCAGTAATGTTCCTTTTAGTCCTTGATTTTGCCTCAGTTGAACTAGAATCTGTAGATGTTTCCTCTGAAGAAACGTCTTCCAAAGTATTTATCGTTTCATTGCTGGTACGAGAATCCATTTTTGTACTTGTGCTAGATTTTCATAGAATTAAAAATACTACTAAAAAAAATTATATTACTTGCCTTTCAAAAAGCCTTTTGCCTTTCACTGCAGTGTAAATTATACTGCCACAATAGTTTAAAAACCAATTCCAGATCCTATTATACCAAACTAAAGAATAGATCAGTAATGCCTATTAATCAATATTGATTGTACAGGGTCTTTGCACTATCAAAATGCATTGGAAATTCATGTAGTTCGATTTAGGTTGGAAGGAATAAATTTTCTTGTGTTTGTTAATTGAGTAAAAGTAATTTTTTAATGAGGCTATTAGTATTATCATCTTAAGCAAATCAAGCGTTAAGTAAATTGAATAATTTGACTAGGAGATGGGTAAATATGATTGAAGTTGGTCCCATAGCATGAAGGGTTCACCTGATGGAGGTGAAATCAGATTTCTTTTCTTGTTTTTGAATAACATAAATCGCAATCGGTCAAGCAATTTGTCAGTTTATTTCCATTTGTTCTGACCTGACCAGATAGGTACACTATTTTAAAATACCCAAGTTTAAATAAATCAATAACTTGCACAATGTTTGTATCGTAAAACATCATATATTTATTCACAAAAGGCTATATACTATGGAATATCTACTATATATGAATATATCTTTACAGGAAAAACAGTAATACCTAATAAAAATAGGCAGTTTTTAATTTTAGCCACTACACGTACCTACGTCATAGCCCCAAAAATAAGGCTGAATTGAAAGTTTTTCTTCGCTTTCTTATGACTAGATTATTATTTAAAAAAAAAAAACCTTCACGTATTAGTAACCATATTAATTAGGTTTTATTACCAAAAATTAACTATACTACACTTCTAAAATTTACAAAATATAATACATATAATCAACGATCTAACATGAATTTTGTCCAAATATGGCATAAAAGCTCAATAATCACCAGCAGCTTTATTGTTAAGGATTAATTATTCACAGTCATATTATTGCCCTAAACGCTAATTATTTTTTACTAATTAAACAATCAAATATATGCAAGTTTCAAATAGCCAATATGCCATGGCCATTAAACCAAATCCACTAAAAAATTTGACGGCCTGATGAGCAAAATACAATCGCCTCCATTTGGTCTGGGCCACCTCCAAAGTTTCCAAAGGATCTTGCAGCAGGTACTGCCTCACTCCTTTGCAATAGGTTTTGTAATATTCGTCCCAATCCAGTTGTTTGAGGTCTGAGAAGAAGAGTTCTCTGTCTTTGTCGCACATACGTTCTTGCTGTCTTCGGAGACTGTCGGACCTGACATCCCATTCTCTTGTGCAAAAGTAGGAAATGACGCTGGAAAATTTGTGAACTTTCTTGTAGGCTGCCATCAGTCTAGAATAATAATGATAATTCAATATTTCGTCAATCGATATTTTAGTTTTAAAATTTCAGCACACGCTGCCTTCTTCAGACGGAATAAATCGAAATGTTTGAAGCAAAAATAATATCTGGAACCAAATTTTAAATATGGCCAGTCATACAACATAGTTTTTATAGACATAAGTAATTATATAATATTTTATTCTTACCTTGGTTGTTTCCCCAAACAAAACAGCACAGTATCAGCAAGTAAAGCGGGCAAAGTGTGCAGCAAAAACGTCCAAAACAAATAAACAGGATAATATTTGTAAAGCTTAAAAGAATAATACCATATTGCCTTGGTCGAAGGATATTCAATTCCGTAATGATGGGAAAGATGCATGAACTTTCCCCAATTGATCGGCTGGTCCTTTCCAGATTCATAATTATAAACCATAATGTCGTAGCTCTTTTGGTCTTTTCGATAACTCTCTCCAACTTCCCAAGCGGCAGTTATCAAAGAGTTAACGCACATGTCAACAGGTACTAAATTAGCATTGACTTCTGGATCGCAGTAAAGGGTTCTTAGGAGGCCTACCCCTACTCCTGCTACCACTCCTGTCGGTCCGTACATGTTATTGATCCAGGATTTTACTGGTTCCTTGTAAGTGGCAATCACAATGGCTGGTCTGAATATTCCCACAGGCATATTATCAGATTCCCGCCGCACAATATCTTCGGCTATTTGCTTGGTGTAGGCATAGGTGTTTGGATAGTTTTCCAGTAGTCTTGGCGTCATATCGTCCAGGATTTTTCCAGGTACATTTTCCGTCAGCATAATCATTTTTTCACCGTCAATTGCGCCTGGGTATATTTTTTCTTCAATACAATTATTGGTGCAGTTAGCATAAACTGTGGATACGTGAATAAAGGATTTTAACTTTGACATTTCTCTTCCTAATCTTAGTAAATCTCTGGGGCTTCTTATGTTGATAGCTACGGCTGTTTCTAGTTTTTCATCGAAACGTACTGTGGCTGCCACATGAAAGATTATGTGGATCTGTTATAATTAATTTGATATGTATTTTTTTTAAATTTTTTTATAAGAGATCAATTGCTTACCTCATCAATCAATAATCTTTTGTCTTGCAAGCTTAATCCCAATTCTGGCAAACTGCAATCTCCGGCCACGCCGACCACTTTATGTCTAAATTTTGGGCATTCCTTTCTTAGTCTGTCGAATATGACATCGTCGAACATTTCATCGACACGTTGTTCCAGATTTTTCCCTTTTTTGTCTCGCACAAGAAGATAGATGCTGGAAATGGTAGGGCATGAACGGAGTAGTTTTTCTACTAGGATTTTACCTAAAAAAAAGGGAAATGTTAAAGTTGCGTGGAAGATTTCCAATTTATTGGATATTTTGTGGACAGGCTGTTAAAAGGGATCAGTAACTTTGGAAATATTTTGCCAGTGTGAGCTTCTCGAGCAAAAGTTAGGAACATTTTTTATAACTTAGTGATAGCAATCTTCTTGAAATGCTACGAGTTTGATTGAAATTATACCAAAACCTAAATACATACAACTTTTTCATAGGGAAAAATGACTCTATTTTTATTATTAGGACCTAATCGTCTTGCCGATTTGCCAGGATTTGGAATGATTCGTCAAATTAGAATGTAATAATATACGCCTGAAGATGCCATTCACCCTAGAAGCAGAAAAATGTCTAATCATCCAAGAAATTTGAAGGATTTCCAATGACACAAGCGACTACAGTACAGTCAGGCCTAGATACGATCTCTTCAGCAAGAAGAGATTTTCCAACGTCAACTTGACTTTCTACTGACTGACTTCACAAATAGTTGAAGGCAGCGCACTTTACCTATTTTGCTGCTAAGATACAAGGTCAAATTTTAAATATCTCTGTAAGGAAATATGTACTAAGTATTACAAGAAAACAACGAAGAAAATGCAATTAATGACCCTTTGGATTCCAGAATCTTCACTCGAACGTCTTCATTCCCTTGGGGTAGGTATACCTATTGATTTTTATCAATAAAACTGGTTAAACGATCAACGAAATATTTTGAGATAACTATTTTATATTCTTACCTAAAAATCCTGTAGATCCTGTTATAAACACATTAGTTCCATCGTAAAATTTCTGTATAGGAGTAAGATCGTCGATTTGGTTTTCATCTAGTTGCACATCGGCTACATCTTCGATGTAATAAGGGGCATCAGAAAAATCATTGGACAGATTTTTGTTTTTCTGATTCTCGATGGCAGTGTAACCTGAAAGAAATAATAACAAAGTTGAAGGGGATTTTATATTGTTTAAACAAAAATGTTATTCCTATGTAAATGAGATAGATTTTATTCAAAACCATTGGGATACGTTAGGCTAAACCAAAGGTGCGAATTGCACCATAAAACTCAGACCATGACCACATCCTACAAAAAATCTGTAGGTTATTTGCTAATGTGGCACTGAACTGAATATTTCCGGCAGCTTTTTCTATGAAAAACTAAAATAGGTTTGGGTCAAGATTTGCATAAACGATTTTGAACAACGTTAATGTATTGATATTGATTTTTCCTATTTTTAATCAATTTTTAGTTGCATTTGGAAGGTGAAAAATTATGTAGGTATTATGAAATATCGAATTATATTTTTAGATTTTTGCATAATGATGGCCTTTGAAAAGTAACAGGATACATAAGTATGATTGGAAATTTTCTACAAAAAAAACAATAACCTTGATGTGCCCACCTATACTATTATAAAATTTGACATTCGAATTTGCGCGCAATTTTTGGTAAAGTTTGATGGATTACCTTTGTTAAAGAAATCATTAATTATAATATTACTGTGGTAATATAATTTGAATTTAGGCACCTTATTTTTGCTAAATCATCAATGACTCATAAAAGTAGTATAAACGAGAATACCAAATACAAGAGAATTTAATCACTTTCAACGTAATAATAATATAAAATGATCTAATTAGTTAGGTATATAGGTTTTTTTTAAATTTTCAAACGTCATATTACAGTAATTTTTGTGATCATTTTGACAGGGTATAAGAGTCACTTCAATGACATTAAGCTTGAGCGGCGTATAAGTGTTATACTCCGCCGGAGTATAACATTCATACGCCACCCACATGTTTTTCCATAGCGATTTAAGGTAGTTCACCTGTACATACAGGTACAGGTGCTTATAAAGGTAATCCTTCTAAATATGAATATAAAATATTGTATATGGTCTCAATGTACAGCTTATCAAGAACATAAAAAATATTATCTTGGTACCATTGACAAAGATGATAAACCTATGCTTAGAGGGAATACATTTCCTAAGTCACTCAAGAGGGCTGTAATTACTCCGATTTTTAAAAAAGGGGACAGGAATGACCTTTCTAACTATCGTCCCATCTCCTTGTTGCCAATTTTGTCGAAGGTAATTGAAAGGTGCATGGCATGCAGGATTACAACTTCTTTGAGAGCAACAGCTTGTTTACTGGTAGCCAGTTTGGGTTCAGAGGGGGAAAAAGGCACAGTTCTTGCAGACCTCAATCTTCTCTCGAACATAATGCGCGCTTTTGAGAAACGTGAACACCTCTTAGCACATTTCTGTGACCTGAGCAAGGCTTTTGATTGTGTCTCGTGTGATCTGCTACTGAAGAAATTAAAGTTTTACAATTTTTCAGAGCTGGATACAACTACTGGAATCGTATCTGAGTGTATGCAAGCGAATGGTAGGGGTGGGGGAAGTGTCATCTTCTGAGGATTTCTTAAGGGTAGGTGTACTTTTCCTCATCTTTATAAATGACCTACCAATGAGTGAATTAGCCAGATACATACTTTTTGCAGATGACACTACTCTCACTATTCAAGATAATGATCTAGGTGCCTTGGAGTGGAGGTCGCGTGCGGCACGATTGGAGGCTGAAAGTTGGTTTAGCGCCAACAGGCTTATGCTAAATGGGGATAAAACTCAAAGAATGATGCTCAAGCGAGAACCAGGATTTCACAAATCCACCTGAAGTGAAGTTTTCGGGATTATATCTCGATCCAAAACTCACATGGGATGTGCATACAGATATTATGTCAGGAAGGCTGAGGAGCAGTGTTTTCTTGCTGAGGAATCTTTGTGACTGTGTATCTCGGGACACAGTGCTGAGTGCTTATTATGGCATGTTTCGCTCTGTCATGACATATGGGATTCTAGCATGGGGTGGAGCCCCTTCTGCCGCCCGAATATTTGGGCTGCAACATAAGACTGTTAGAATTTTGGCAGGTGTAGGGTTTAGGGACGACTGTAGGCCTACGTTTGTGGAACTCAACATACCGACTCTGCTGCTGATATACACTTTCAACTGTTGCACAGTGCCAAGTATAATATTCCTGGGGCGATCGAGGGAGTATGTATACTTCACCCACAACAAATTTTGTTCCATTTATCTGGCAAAAGGTATACAACTGCTCAACTCTATCCTCTGCTATTTTACTACAACTTGATTGCACTTTTTTGCCAATAAATATCAACACTCCTCCACCGCTGGATTTTTTGCTACTTCTGAGAGTTCTGTCGCACCTAGATTAAAGCCCTCGCAGTTAACTTCGTTGTCTGAAAAGTCACTGCTAAGATTGCTCTCCACAAAAACAATTATATCATGTTGTACAACAGGCTACTTATTTAAAGAGATCAGTTAGTTTAGTCCTAAGACCTCCGACATTGTGGAAATAAATTGTTAATGGGGTGCAGGTATGTTTTTTTGTTCTTTAACTTCAACAACAGGTAATCCATTGCGATATTTGATGATCAGATTCGTGTCTCCAGCTGTCCTTCTACTTGCAAGAGTTAATTTAGTTTTCTTGTAAGCCTCATCCTGCTGATCAGCCGGAATTCTATAACTGGAACCCAACAATCTTTTTGCCGACTTGGTTGCCAGCCTCACCGTATCAACAGTATTGCATATAACTCTAATTGGTCTTGATTTGGTATTGTTGTTTCTCGTCAGGCCAACGCGAACCATTTTTTTGATAAAAGAAATCTCCTGCTGTAAACCTAATCTGGTAAATACTTCGGTAATAGCAGTTTTGTCATGGCTAATTCGCACTTCAAGACTTTCAGAGACAGATTCTGGAACGTTATACACCATAAGATTCTGTGCTCGAGTAGCACGTTGACCAGCCTCGTGAACAATTGATTCAGCATTCAACGACTTCTCTGCTGACTTCTTCTCCAAAATAACTATCTTCTGCTGCAGTGCTTGTACTTCTTCCTCCATCTTCATCAGTTTTCTCAGCATAACAGGAACGCTTTTAATTGCATCACGACCACCATGGCAAAAGTACAACAGTGTACGTTTTTGCTCTATATTCTGAGGTGGAAAGTCCAGAACATTTCTCAGCACTGTGTGTACGCTCTCTGCAGCTATCACACGTAACTATTAGCTTATCGTCAGCCCCCAAGTCAAGTGAGCAGACTATGCAGTTTCCTTGCGGCATGTTCAAAACACAACCTCACATCAAAATACGCACCAATAAAAGTGATTCCTATACTACACCGAAAAACACTGGTCCCAAAGTATCCGTTGCAACTCACAAATACATTGTTAAAACATTATTTTATAGTAAAATACGAAAATCTCAGAAAACAATTTTTGTTTACACATTAGCAACCTCACCACATGTTGCAACAACAATTTTTTGCGTACAAATATGATGAAACCAAAACAGCTGGTGAAAGTTGCCTGGAAATCGATGGACTGGCGCAAGAATTGAACATTAATGGAGAAGATATTAAAGACAAAATTTAATCATTTTCATGCAGCCTGGCAGTCAGTGGCTGAAAGCGACAAAACACTCAAAAATTTAAGGAATCGCTTGCAACAAGAAGCGCTAAGACTACAAGGGCGGGAATCAGAGACAGTAAGCAATGCACTTGTTGGAAAAATTGTTGAGTCGAACAAAAACAACAAAGAAGAGAGAAGCTTTATCAAGAAAAATCAGCAAGGTTTCAAATGCGCATGCGCAGTTCAATTCACGTCTGATTCTGAACTAAGTCCGAATAAACCTATTGTAAAAATATATATGAATGTCACAATTGTTACGAAAAAGGTCATTTTCGAATGATTGTCCGAAAAAGTCAAGTTATATTCTGTGCAAGTTATGAAGGTAGGTAACAAAGTGAAATTGTTGGTCTCAGTTGCATCATCATCATCAGTATTGGAAGGATTATCAAATCACTATGAATTATGGATCATGGACAGTGGTGCAACACATAATTTGACTGGAAATTTAAAATGGCTATCAATTTGACAACACCTTAATCTATAAAAAAAAATATTCTCAGTCACAACAGTTTTGGATAAAGATTATACCCTTAGTTATACCTACACAATCAGCAACAGCAAAGTCAGTAATTACGGAACAAGGAAAACCAGTATTAATAGACAAGAGGACAGGTGGTTTATTTCACACGATGTTTCGTGTGATGGAAGAGTGCCAGCAATTAGCTTAAAAATTTGGCATAAACGGTTAGCACATCAAAATATTCGACATGTAAAAGATGTATTAAAGAAGAATGAAATAATATTGATGACTGGAAATATTATGTCTGTACAGGTTGTGTGTATAGGAAATAGCACAGAGTTTCTCATTCAACGAATAATGTCATAGCAAAAGCATCTTTGAACAGAGTACCTACATGTTGATCTTGGAGAAATGAATGTTCGTTCTCTCGGTGTTGCAAAGTATTTTCTAATTTTTAAAGATGATTATAGTCATTTTCGAACTATTTACTTCTTGAAAAACAAATCTGAGGCAGTAGAAAAATTAAATATCTAGTTAAACCTGGTAGAGAATCACTTTGGTCATAAAGTGAAAGTATTGTTGTCAGATAATGGTACGAAAATTAAAAATTTGAGAAGCAGAGAAATTTTTGAAAAGCTTGGAATATATCATGAGCGGTCAGCAGCTTATATACCACAACAAAATAGCAGAATTGAAAGAGAAATGCGGACCATGGTTTATGCCGCACGAGCTGAAATTTACACTCATGATTTTGGACAAGACTTATGGACAGAAGCATTAAATTGTTCAGTATTTTCAATTATTCAATGTGGCAACAGCAGTATTGGTGAAAAAATTCCAGCAGAATTGTGGTTTGGTCGTCCTATTAGTCTGAAAGCAATGAAAATTTTGGGTTTTGAATGTTACATCATGTTACAGGATCATCAGCGTCAGAGAATGGATAAAAAAAGCAAGAAAGGATTTTTGCTGGA